TTCTCCTCCTCCTCCTCCTCCTCCTCCTCCTCCTCCTTGTCATTGTTTCGCGGCGGGCGCCGCGAAAAAGCAACAATGAGTTGCTTTCTATTGGTGTGTCCCCAGTCCTTCAATCAGGCGGTCGGAAAAATATGTAGTACCCCCTAGTGGGAGGGGGTCTCAAGACCACTCAGGGTTAAGAGTGACACATCGCCGGAGTGACCTTTGGTGCGGACCCATTGGAGCCCCCCCCATCGCTGAATGCGATTGAATAGTAGCGGCCTGCGCGCTCACGTTCTGCCGGGGACGCCCCTGGGCCATATTATGCTGTCAGCGCGGAAAGTAGCCCAGACTACCTCGAGTAGTGACAAAAATCACAGCGGGAGGTTTTCTCGCTTTTCTGGCCTCCAGGGGCCCTCATCGGGCCTCGGGACCGCTAATAACGATTCAGAGATATAAGAATATGTTTCCGGAAGGGGTCCAGACTTCTGAGAGTCACGCCATGAAGAAATCACGACGTCTGGGGTCTGGGAGGAACGAAACCCAGACCATCTCCTTCTCCTCCTCCTCTTCCTCCTGAGCTCCTCCTCCTCCTCCTCAGCTTCTCCTCCTCCTCCTCCTCCTCCTCAGCTCCTCCTCCTCCTCCTTCTTCTCAGCTCCTCCTCCTCAGCTCCTCCTCCTCATCCTCCTCCTCCTCCTCCTCATCCTCCTCCTCCTTCTACCCCCTCCTCCTCCTCCTCCTCCTCCTCCTCCTCCTCCTCCTCCTCCTCCTCCTCCTCCTCCAAGATGAGATCCTCGATCCTCGCCCCTCGATCCCTCGAGGGGGTCTGGGCGACAGGGGCTCCATCGCCGCGGCCGCGCACGAGGCCGCGGCACCCCCCGCGGGGCCGGCACCGCCTCCAGCGGCGCGCCCCGCGGCGCGCTTTGGCGCCGACGACGGCCTGCTCTCCACCGAGCAGGACTCCGAGGAGGGAGAGGTCCCAGACCCCCTCTAAACACGAATAGCTTCCTCCTCCTCCTCCTCCTCCTCCTCCTCCTCCTCCTCATCGTCCCCTCTCCTCCCCTCCCCTCCCCGTCCTCTCCCCTCCTCCCTCCCCCCCTTCCCTCCCTCCTCCTCCTCCTCCTCCTCCTCCTCCTCCTCCTCCTCCTCCTCCTCCTCCCCCCGCGTCGCCACTCCAGGACCCCCTCACGCTGTGAAAAAAAACACCTCGGACAGGTTTTCCCTATGTTCGGCCTCCAGGGGGCCTCGCTGGGCCTCGGGAGCGTCAAGAAACGACTCGGGATGAACATCCCATCCCCGGAGAGGGGTCCAGGCCCTTCGGAGTCACGTCACGAAATAATCATGACGTCGGGGGTATGGGAAAGGTCATGGCGCCAGCATCGCAGAGCGGATTTCGTTCGGAGATCCAATGAGATGGGCCAAGACTCTCCTCGAGAATGTCGTTCCGGAGTTCGAAGTGAATCTCCTGCTGATCTCTGTTTGGTGTGGCCAGGGATGACGACTGCAGGAATCCACGTGACGTTAAGTTCGTTTTTCGTTCGCTCTTCTGGGGCTTCGCATTAACAGGAACCCATGCGAAAATACGCTGCAGCACATCTGTAAATTCGGTGAGGTACCCATACCGCTACGGTCGGGCCGAGGTATCCAGAGCGAGGTAGGCCCGGGGAGGGTGCCCCACTGTTCTTCGTGCTTGCTGGGCGTCCTTGTGCAGCCAGGGGGAGGGCGCCCTCGAATGTTCGTCAGTTTGGCCCGCGGAGGGTCTCGCGTTCTAGGTCCGGCCGTGCAGACGGGTTTATGCGGCGATGGCGCGCTGGCGACGCTGGCGAAGGCGTTCAAGGCTGACCTCCGCACGATGGAGTGACGCGGAAGCACCAAGGGGCGCGGTGACGTCACAGGACCCACCGGAATTCAACCTTGAACGATCGGGGCCGCGATCGGTTCAAGGTTGAACGATCGAGGCCGTGCCAAAAACCTTTGCGCGCGCCGACGTCGCACGAACCTGCCGTACCGTTCCTCTGTTTTCGCCTTTTTGGGCCTCGTTGGAGGCCCTCGTCGCCACCGCTGGATTCGCTTCGGAATTCTGTGCAGAACGTACCTCGGGAGTGGTCTGAGGAGCAGCGGTATCGGTACCTGCTCGGTTTCCCCAAGGGCGGGCACGTGGACCCTCACGCAGTGGCGATGTGCGTCTTGGCTCGGCTTGGCTGCAGGCCCACCAGAGACTGTTCTGAGAATTTGTCGTGGTGGTTTGCACGACATGTCCTGAGAGCCTCGTGTACCTTGGCAATTCCACCTCGGGAGATCACCATTGTCGACTCGCGTCGGGTCATCGAGGAGGTCGCGCCGAACTTGCGTGGATCAGCGTCGATTGTATTGGATTTGGCGTCGACCAAGGTCGATTCGCAAGGGTCAGCAGGATGGCACGGGAGGCTCCCATGATCAAGCAGTGGCGAAGCGTCCAGGCTCGCCTATAGGCCTACCAAACAATGTTCTAAGAGCTTATTGTGGTTTCCACGAAATGTTCTTAGAACATTTCTGGCCGATACTGTTTTGTTTTAGCGCATCGGGCTTATGCTCTAAGAACATCGTTTTTTGTTATAAGAACATGTTTGGGGGGTTCTAAGAACACGTCGTGGTAGGACTATAGGAATGCCGGGACGGTCGGTCCCTGCTCAACATGAGCTGCCGCAGCAGGACGGGCACCTGGACCTGCAGCCCCGCGGGCAGCGTCTCGGCCAGCCGTTTTTGTTGGGGCGTGCCCGTGGGCCTCGGGAGGTCCTCTTGCCTCGGGCTGCGTGCCCGCAGGCTGCGCCTCGCCGAGAGCACTCCGTGCGTGCTCGCGTCGTCCTGAACGGCCGCTGGCGATGGAGGCTTCGATGCTCCTCGTCTCCGCTCGTGTGGGCCCCAAGGCCCCCTCGGGCAATGCAGAACTCATGACGAACGGTTTTTTGGTATCTTCGGCTTCTTGGGGCCTTCGCCGGCCCTCGGGACCGTCAGAAAACGACTCGGGATGAAAAACCGGTCCATGGGAATGGGTCGAGCCCTTTGTGCGCCGACGTCATGACAAAAATCACCACGTCGGGGGTCTGGGCCTCAGGACGGCCAAGTGGACCTGGCGGAGCTGGACGGGCACATGCAGCTGGCCGCCATGGGCATGCGGTGCGGCCGCCTCTGAGAGCGGCGGAGGAATGGTACGGATGCCCGATGCCGGTACCCTCGCCGGGTCTGGCGCAGATCCTGAGATCCGTGCGGAGCGCCAAAAGTTTGTGTTGATGCCATCATTTTTTCTTTTACTCGTCGTTCCCTGTAACGCGTTCCTTCTGGTAGCACGATGCCTGCACCGGAGCCTGTTTTTTTAGACTACGGCAGTTTTGCCTGCATGGACGGGGGGGGCTGAGCCTGCAGCAAGCCGCAGACGACTTGCACGCGCGGGAATCACGCCAGTCGAAAAGCACCTGCACGCTAGTCTGCGTTTGGCGAGGGGCGAGGGAGGGGGGGGTACGAACGTCCTGCAAGTAAACTTGCGTTTGGTGAGGGGATCAGAATCGGCGCCGTTGGCTTTGAACTCTTTTGGAGCTTTCTTTGAACTCCCCGGCGAACTTGATCTGAACTCTGGACAGAATCAACAAAAGGCTCACTCTGCCTTGGCTCCAGCACTACAAACCTGCCGGAACATAATTGTAAAAACAGGCTCCTGTTTCAGGTGCAGCGGGCTCGGTGCGCGTTCGCCGCCTTGGCGACCGAAAGCACAGGTTCCCCGTCGCGGGCGCGGGCGCGGGGGGCCGTCGCAGGCCCTGCGGCCGGCAGGAAGGCGGTGGAAGGAGGAGGAGGAACAGGAGGAGGGAAGAGAAGGGAAGAGAAGGAGGAAGAGGAGGAGGAGGAGAAGGAGGAGGAGAAAGAGGAGGAGAGATGAGAGAGGAGAGAGCAGAGAGAAGAGAGGAGCGAGGACAAACTGGGCACGCTGGGGCCATATCTGTCATCCTACCCCTCCCGCCCATCCCTTCCCATTATGCTGATATGATGTTTATATCCACCGACGAATGTCACAACGCATGTCGCATTCCAAAAAGGTCCCCATCTTGTCATGCGCAGTTGGAAATGTTGAGCTGTATGCACAGCACATGGAGGTGGCGGATGAAAAGGAGGATACGGAGGATGATGAGGAAGGCGGAGGACGAGGGCGACCAACAGCAAGAGGAGCTGGAGGAAACGGCGTGGGAGGAGCAGAAAGTCTAGGGGACATCGGAGGAGGGGAGATGTGATTCACGGCAAGCGAGCTTCCAGGAATCGCCATAGACATCGTGCACAATGGTGTGCTCCACGCGTTGTCTTACAATCGATAGCGTGTACAGGGGGATGCGTCTAAGCTTGAATGATGCGTCCTTGATCGGCAGAGCCTGGTGGCGGGTATTGGCCACCGAATTAAGATAACGCCAATTGGCACCAAGTGCGGAGGAGGGCGACAGCAATGAGGACAGACTTGGATCCAGGAAAATGGATCGCGCTGGGGCGCGAGCGCCATTCTTCAGGACGGGAGCGAAGCGCCGATCTTAAAATGAGCCCACGTTGCAGCGAGAACACGGTTTTGAATGATCGAACCAGTCGGAAAGCAGCAAAGACCCATGGGAATCACCAATGTGTCAAACCCAACCGTAAACAGTATGCGGAGAGAGGGCAGCGCATCTTTCGGACAGAGCCAGTGGAGAGACGAGAGTGGTACGCATAATGTGTAAGCGTGGGAGAGGAGGAGGCGGAGGAGGAGAGAGGAAGAGAGAGGAGAAGAGAGCAGGATATAGGAGGGGGAGATAGGAGGAGGAGGAAGAGGAGGAGGAAGAGGAGGAGGAAGAGGAGGAGGAGGAGCAGGAGGAGGAAGGGGAGGAAGGAAGGAGAGGATTCTGATGATGATGATGAGGAGGAGGAGAAGGAGGAGGAGGAAGGGGAGAGAGGAGAGGCGACAGAGGAGAGAAGTGGATTCAGCAGGCTCGGGAGGTTTTCTTTGTATTGGGGTGGGTGGGGGGGTCAAGGGTCTTCTACGAAAGTGGGAAGTGGAGGAGGAGCAGAAGGAACAGGGGGAGGCGGAGAAAGAGGACGATGGGGGACGAGCGAAGAAAGGCGTAGGATGGAAGGGACGACCGCACGGGAAGGACGATGATGATGAGCAGGAGGAGGAGGAGGAGGAGGAAGAGGAGGAGGAGGAGAAGTAGGAGGAGGAGAGGGAGGAGGAGAAACAACAAAAGTGGAGGGAGGCGGAACGACGAAAGTTGGAGGAGTAAAGGGAGGGGAGGAGGAGGAGGAGGAGGAAGAGGAGGAGGACAAGGAGAGAGAGAGAGAGAGAGAGAGAGAGAGAGGGAGAGGCTGACACAGGCAGGCGGAGGAGAAGGAGGAGGAGGATCAGGCGAAGCAGCAGCAGCAGCCCCTTCGAATGGGATGCCCCCCCCTGTCGGCCCGAGGTGTTCACCTTCGCCTCCGAGAAGCTTCCAATAGTTGCCGCCTGCATGGTCGGGCGCCGAGCTGCCTGGCGGAGGCGGGGGCGGAGGAGGACGGTGCAGAAGACGAGGGCGACGACGTTGCCGAGGAGGAGGAGGAGGAGGACGACGAGGATGTCGGCAGGAACGACGACGATGACGATGACGACGGCAGCAACGACGACTAGGACGGCGAGGGTGACGCTGTTCTCGAGAAGTGCACGGTGGCGACACGCATCGCGCGGAGGAAGGGCGAGCAGCTCGTGAGCGTCAAGCCTCAGAGCTACGGTTTCCTGTTTTGTGAGTTATTATGTTGTTGCCCATGGTTCCTTGAACATTGTGGCAGCTGGCATCGGATGTCTGGGCCGCCTGCAGAGTCTTGGGGTCCTGTTTCTATATTCACATTGTTTCAACTTTTCAAGCGCTGGGTTGTGTTACGATCTTATCACATGTCGTGTTCTGATTCGTCATATTCTTCTTATTCTTAGTAAATATGTGTATCTCTCTCTTTCTCTCTTCTTTTTTTTGTTTCTCTCTCTCTCTCACGCCAGGCTTTCTTTCCAGGGTCCAGTAGCCTCTGAGCTGATACTTCGTGCTGGGTACGTCGCACTTGGATACGATAGCCAGGCACAGCTTCTGCCGGGCGATACCTCCCTTGATTGTAACGTTGTTGCTGGATGTTCCTCCACCCCACATCCCCTCATAATTCATGCTCGTCCTCCCGACATTCCTGATCCCATTCTTCCTCCCCAATCAAGGGTGATGGCCCTGGGGGCACGTAGCATGGGGGGTATACGTAGCAGGCCGAAGTTTTGATTGGTGAGCAGCGTGCAGGAGCGTGCATCTAGAGGCCAGCAGCTCGCTCGTGTTCATTTCTGTCTGACGGTCGGGTAGCCAATAGCCGGCAAGCGACAGAAGCTTACCACCAGTAGCTATTACCAGCAGAAGGGGTCGATGTTCTTCTGTGTGGGGTAGAGAGAGGGAGAGAGAGAGAGAGGGCGTTGGAGCAGGAGAGGGGAGGGCGAGGGAGAAAGAGAAAGGAAGAAAGGGAGCGAGAGCGGAGAGGGAGATATGTAAACAAACAAAGAGAGAGAGAAAGAGAGAGAGTGTGTGTGTGTGTGCACGTCACATCAAAGCAAAGGGTGTCAGCGTGGACCCCAGCTTGAAGTGCGGTCCACGCGGTATAGTGATGTGGTCCGAGCTATGTGGTGCAGGTTGGGCGTTGCAAGATTCGTGGTGCGAGCTGTGCCGCGCAAGATCCTGTGGTGCAAGCCGTGGGCTGTGAGCAGTGTGGTTTGAGTGAGGTCGTACTGGCTATCTGGTATAGGCCAGGTGGTGCGAGCGACGTGGTCAAGGCATGTGGCCTGGCCTGGTGTGGTGTAAGCCGCGTCGCGGCCGTGGGCGCCCCCCGAGGGGCCCGCAGGCGTCCCCGCCCGCGAGGCGGCAACGGGCAGGCACCAGACGACGCCCCGCCACACCCACCCAGCGCACGCGGTGCTCAGGAGCTGTGATGTTCCAGCCTTCTTCTAGCCCTGATCACCCGAAAGCATGTCGAGCACCAGGGAGGCACCGAAATTGCGAGGACTTTCACGTGTCGGGCCCCGGGAGGCGAGACGCGTTCGACACCGTCTCGATACCTCTCGGGGTGCTCCCTCGCCTTCCTCCTTCCTCCTTCTCCTTCCTCCTGTGCTCGTGCGGTTGCACATTCCGTTGTAGCTTGTTTCGCCCGTTTTGCGCACGCGTCCGCGAGGGACGCACGGCTCCAGTGAGTCAGCCAGTCTGGGTGCTCGAGACTATTTCTGGGCTGTGGTCCCCAAGTACGGCTGGAGCAGCACAACTCGAGAGGCGTCCACAGGCAGGCACCAGCACAGGGCACTCGACGAAGCCCCGCCGCACCCACCGACCCCACGGGGCGCGCCCGCGAGGTCCTCCCGAGCGTGCAGCCGCCGCGCACCGGGCCAGAGACCGCCACGCCTCCCCCCGCGGACGCAGTGCACCTAGGGAAGCACCCCCTGAACGGAAGAGCTGCTGGCTGAAGAAGACATGCAGAAGACATATGTCAAGCAGTGGCGAAGCGTCCTGGCTCGCCTATAGCCCTACCAAACAATTTTCTAAGAACCTTTGGTGGTTTCCACGAAATGTTCTTAGAACATGTCTGGTTGGGACTATCTCGGTTTAATACATCGGGTTAATGTTCTAAGAACATTGTTTTTGTTATTAGAACATTTTTGGGATCTAAGAACATTTCGTGGTAGGACTATAGGAATGCCTGGATGGTCGGTCCATGCTCAAATATATGATCAGGGGCGCCTTCGAGTTTTTTTTTTTTTCTTTTTTTCTGTTTTTCTGGGGATTTTCGAGGGACACAAAAATGAAGACGGAGGCAGCGTGAGAGGGAGGAGCAGTGGGAGGAATCGGGGAGAGCAGAGTAGACCAGAGTCCAGGACCGGATAGTCCTAGTTGCACGGGTGGTCAAGCAATGTGCGAGTGCATGCTGGGGGGAAGAGTCTGGGACGAAAGCTGCATCCCAAGGTCGCGAAGCGCCCGGTGCACCTCTACCTCGGTGACGAGCCTGACCCCTTCACTCGCAGACAGCACGAGGGGAGGGCGGGACTGTTCACCGGACCGAGTCGGTCCTGTCCAACGCGCCCACTGCATTTGAAGCCTTGTCTTGTCACGCCCCCCTCGGCATGGGGGGCGGCCCTTCGCTTGCACCCTCTGTACTCCTGCCCTCGCCTCTGCACTCGGTGTGCCGGGCTTCCGTGCTGGAGTGGCGTGAGAGTCAGGAAGTAGAGGAGCACGATGAAGAGCATGCGTACATGATGAGGACGAGGAAGGTAGAGGGAGGGGAGAGAGGATGAGAGGGGAGAGGAAGAAGAGAGAGAGGAGAAGGTGGACTCTCAGCTGTAGTCCCTCCCTTCCTTCTCTTCTCTCCTCGGGTCGAAGGCCATCCAAGAGGCTCCCGGGCCATCGCACGTGCCCTACCTCGCGACGGCGGCGGTGAAGATCGCCAACCCCGCATCATCCTCGTGCCGCGAGCCCTCGGCCCTCGGCGGCCCGCCAGAGAGAGCCGCCTCGACGACTCACGTCGGCCCGAGACCTGTCAACCTGCCCCTCGATCCTCGATCCCCGAGAATCGAGGCCCGATCCTCTCCTCGATCCTCGATCCTCTTCTCGATCCTCGATCCCGTGTGGCCGAGGCCTCTCGTCCCTCCCCTCGATCCTCGAGGACCCCTGGGGCGGCCCTCGATGGCCGAAACGCATGGAAGTCGCTGGGGTTGGACAAACTTGTCCAATCCCAGCGATACTGAACCCAGATCTCCGACGGCATGCTTTCAAGCATGCCGTCGGAGATCTGGGTTCAGTATCGGGAAGGCCCAGCGGCCGGTGCCGCCGACCCTGAAGGGGGACGGCGACGACGACGGCGGCGACGGCGGCAGCGGCGACGACGACAACGCTGACGCTCTGGAGCCTCTCTTGGTGCCCTCTTGGGAGCCTCTTGGGCCCTGTTGGGGCTTGGGCTGGGGCCGCGGCTGGGGCCAGGGCCTTCCAGGACCAGGGGCTGGGGACGGGCCGAGGCCGAGGCCGAGGCTGGGGCCACGGCCGGGGGCCACGGCCAGGGCTGGGGCCGGGGGCCATGCAGGGCCGGGGCCGGGGTGCCAGGGTCGGGATCCGGCCGGGTCCGGGGCCAGGGTCGGAGCGGCCGGACGGGGCCCGGGCGGGAGCGGGGGCAGGGGCGCGGGAGCGGGGGCAGGGGAGCGCGGGGGCAGGTGGCGACCCCCCGATGGGCCCCTCCCGGGCTCCCCCGGGCCCGGAGGGACCCACCGGCCGCGGGTTCCCCCAGGGTCGACCTGCAGGACCCCCCCCCCCCCCGGCGCGGGGAAGGGATCTAAGGGGCTTCCCTTCGATTCTACTCCGATGTTGTTCAAGTTTGCTCTGGACGGCGCGTATACGGAAGAGGGCCTAGGTAAATGGATCAGAGGAAGATGGAGACGACGACTCCAACGGAAAAGCCCGACTCGAACGAAAAAGTCCCTCACACACGCCGACAGGGTCAGCAGATTCCTCACGAGGCAAGGCTTGCATTCCCACATGTCTTATACGTTTCGTGAGAAATCACGCACATGGTGGGAGTCCTTCTCGCAGATCTTCTCGTCGGTCCTGCCACGTTCGCAATGCGTACTTGCAGAAGTAAGTATGCGCCAGACGCCAACCACCGAGCCTCCTCACTGTGAAGCTGTGCCAAGCGGGCGGCGATCTCGGTGACGTGTTCCCAAAGCCTCGACTCAGACCTCCGACGTCGTGATTTGTTCACAACGTCGACCCCCAGATCTGGATCCCTGCGATGGGCCCGGTTTTTCATCCTGAGTCGTTCTTTGACGGTCCTGAGGCCTGGTATCGACTAGACGTAAGAGTGACCCTTCGCCGGAGTGACCTTTGGTGCGGGCCCATTGGGGTCCCTCGATCGCCGAACGCGATGCGATAGTAGCGTCTTGCGTGCTTGGGTTTGGTCCCCCCGCGGCCCCCAAAAAGCCGCGCGCCAAAGGTCACTCTTACCCAGGGTCGCTCTTGCGTGTAGCCCACGGGAGGGCCCCCCAGGGGCCGAAAGTAACGAAAAAACTCCCCTCATGATTTTCTCACACCGTGAGGAGGCCTGGGGAGCCCCATCGGCCCGCGCCCGGCCGAAGAGCAGCGAGGGGGAGGGGGGGCAGGAGCTGCTCGCCCTCCTCGGCCTGGACCTGCGCTGCTACCCCTCGTACCGCGTCCGCACGGCCGCCCGGGGCGTGCCTAGGGTTAAGTCGGGCCTGTCCCTCCACAGGAGGAATATTCAAAAATAGTCAAAAAATAGTCTGGGGATTATTTTTTGCTATTTTAGCATATTTGGGGTGCATTTTTTGCGTATTTTTGTTTTTCGCCCCAACCCCCTGTAGGTAGACATGCCCGACCTAAGCCTAGGGGGCAGCAGCGCCGATCTCGCGCACCTCGTCGCGAGCCGAATGGTGGAGGACCGCGCGCGTCCCGCGGCGAGGAGGAGCCCCCGAGGATCGTGAGCTGACAGTTGGCACCCGGACCTCCAAGACTTCCGCGCGTGGTGAAAAGCTCACGACGGGAGGTTTTTCACTGTGTGCGGCCTTCCAGGGCCTTTCCTGGGCCTGGGGGCGGTCAAAAACGGATTCAGGATGAAAACCGCTCCCGGGGAAGGGGTTCAGACCTCTAGGCGCCGACGTCGTGGAAAAAATACGACGTCGGGGGTCTGGGCTGTGTGACTTCGAGTTTTCTCGGGCTGGCATTGCCGGGGTGGGCCATGGGTGCGTGGTGTCGCAGGGGGGCCCCGCTCGAACGGGAGCCCCCCATCGAGGTCCGACGGCTCGCACCCATTTGTTTCCAATGGCGCCCTCGTCGACTTGCCCGTTCCCGCTCCTCCTCCTCCCTGTAGCTCTGAGCGCGCGCTGCTCGTTCACCGGAGCAGGAGGGGGAGGAGAATGGGGGGGGGAACCCAGACGTGACATGCCATGCTCGAGCCGTGAACACTTCGCGACGGGCTGCTTTCGGCCGTGCTCGGCCTCCACGGGCTTTGCCAGGCCCCGGGGCCGTCAAGAAAGAGCTCGGGATGAAGCACCGGCCCTATAGTGGGGAGAGGCTCGGGATTTTCAGGAGCCCTGCACTGAGGAAATCAAGACGTCGGATGTTTGGACAGGAAGGGGGGGTCGAGGGAGGGGGGAGGAGAGGAAGAAGGACGGGGTGAGAGCCCAGGAAGACGGCCGGGGTGGAGGAGAGGGAGACCGACAAGGGTACGGAAACGAGGAGGGAGGCGGAGGAGGAAGACGGGGAGGATGAGGAACAGGGAGGGACGAGGCACAAGACGAGGAGGAGGAGGGTGAGGAGGAGAAGCATGAGAATCACGGAGCAGAGGATGAAAGCCAGAATAAGGGAATCCATAATCACGCGGAGATCCTCATTCTGCGCATCCCATGTTCTAACACCTCTACTTGGGCATGGAATCTCAGTGCAAGTCCGAATGCGAGCGTCCCTCTGTGCGCCCCTCTGCCGCCGTGTGCTGCCTTCGCTCTACCGCCGTCTGTTACCCCCCGGCACCCCCCTCTTGGTGTTCCCAGGTGCTGCGCACGCCTGGCACATCGCGGTGACCGCGGGGCTCTGAAAGGACAGGAACCGGGGGTGCCAAGACCGGAGTTTCGCTCGAGGCATACCCACACGCTTCCGCACGCACGGGCGAGCGCAGCGCCCCCAAGCGGCTCTCATGTCTTCTGGACGCTCACGCAGGCGCCGCACCCGAGACGGCCTCGCAAGCTGCCCCTGCAGCGGGGAGAGTCGGAGCCACCGAACGAGCGCCTCCCTCGACACGTCCACACAGTCGGGGCGCGGAAGGGGCGAGTGCAACGTCCCCATGTCGGCTCCCCAGGGGGCGTTGAGACAAGCGCCGACCTCGACACCTCCTGACCATCTGTTCGAAGCAGGGAGGAGTCGGATCCACCACACGAGCGCCTCGCAGTCTTGGCGCGAACCGGGCGAGGGTGAACCCATTGGGGTGCTCAAGTGTTAATGCTTGCGTCGTCGTGGTGGGTTCTGAGCGTGAGTGGGTTTGAGCATGAGTCCAAGCGTGTAAGTCAGAGTGTGGGTGAGTCTAAGCACGAGTGGTCGGAGGGTAAGTGAGGATGGGTATGAGTGGATGCGTATGCGAGTGATCTGTGAGCTCAGGATGTGGGTGAGTTTGGGCGCGAGTGAGCCTGAGTCTGTGGGCTTGAGTTGGTGGCTCCTGGTATGCGGTATGAGCTGACAGGCTTCCCGTGAGTCTGAGCATGAGTGATTTGGGTCTGAGTGGATACGAGTGTGAGTGGTCGGTAGTCTGAGTCTGCGCGTGAGCGGGGAGAGGAATGAGGCGGGAGGAAAGGAGCAGGAGGCGGAGGCGTCACACTGATGATGATGACCCCTCACTTGGTGCATGTGCGTTGATAATGAAGGGGTGGTTGGGGATGAGGGGGAGGAGGACAAGAGAAGCGTCAGAAGGCACGCGGAGGATGAGAAGAACAGGGGGGAGGGAGTGATGAGGAGGTGGAGGGGAAGAGGGGGGAGGAAAAGTGGGGGTGACGGGAGGGAGTGCGGAGGGAGGGAGGGCGGGATGAATAGAGGGTGGGGGAGCGAGGAGCGAGGAGGGATCTCCTCCTTCTCTGCTCCGCGGCCCTCGCCCAAAGGATTTCAAGAGCCTCCTCTCCCTCCGTCCTCAGTTCTCCACAGACATTCTGTTCTGCTCTGCTCTCCTCCTCTTCCACCCTCTCCACCCTCTTCCCTCCCTGGGCTTTCGGGGAGGAGGAGGCGGAGGCACGCGACGGCGGAGACGGGGGGGCCAGGGAACAGGACACGAGGAGGAGGCGGCGACGGGGGCGAGGGCGGAGGGCGGGATGCGGCCGAGGAGGCAGAACGGGGGCGATGGAGGAGGAGGCGCTGGCCGTCGAGCCGCGCGCAAGCGCTCCAACCCCGCGGGGCAGCGGCCGCCCCGGGTCGCGTGCCCACGCCCCGCGCCGTGGGTCCACACCCCGCGGGGCCTGCGGGCCCTCGGCGCCGGGCCTGGGGGCGTGGGCCCTGCGGGGGCAGGCCGCGGGCCAGGGATGCAGGTTCCACCCAAAGGGTTAAGGGTCGAGGAGGAGGAGCGAGGAGGAGGAGGAGGAGAGGAGGACGAGGACGAGGAAAGAGGACGAGGACGAGGAGGAGGAGGAAAGGAGGAGAGGATAAGGAGGAGGGAGGGAGGGGCGAAGGGGAGGAGGCAAGTAGGGAGCTGGAGGAAGGCGAGAGGAGGAGGAGAGGAGAGGAGGAGGAGGAGGAGGAGGAAGAGGAGGAGGAGGAGGAGAGGAGGAGGGAGGAGACGAGGACGAGGACGAGGACGAGGACGAGGACCGAGGAGGAGGAGGACGAGGAGGAGGAGGAGGAGGGGAGAGGAGGAGGAGGAGGAGGAGGAGGACGAGGAGGAGGAGGAGGAGAGGAGGAGGGGACAAGGAAGGAGGAGGAGGAGAGGAGGAGGAAGAGGAAGAGGAGGAGGGGATAGGAGGAGGAGGAGGACGAGGACGAAGGACGAGGACGAGGACTAGGGACGCTGGACGATGACGAGGAGGAGGAGGAGGAGGAGGAGGAGGAGGAGGAGGAGGAGGAGGAGGAGAGGAGGAGGAGGAGGAGGAGTAGGAAAGGGGAAAGAGGAGGAGGAGGAGGACGAGGAGGGAGTGAGGAGGAGGAGGAGGAGGAGCGAGGAGGAGGAGGAGGACAAGGAGGGGGAGGAGGAGAGCAGTCAGGAAGGGGGGGAGGAAGGAGGAGGAGGAGGAGGAGGGAGGAGGAGGAGGAGGAGAGGAGGAGGAGAGGTGGGGAGGAGGAGGAGGAGGGGAGAGGTGGGTGGGTGATCCGCGGGCGGTGCAAGCGCGCACGGGGCCAAGAGGCCAGGGAGGGGCCCCCCGCACGCCAAGGGCCTGCGGGCGGGAGGAGTGCGTGTGCCACGGGGTGTGCGCGCCACGTCTTCGAACGTGTCGCTGCATGTCTATGTTCGGGATGATGGGCGGGGAGGAGGAAGGGGGAGAGGAGGAGGCGAGGGAGGAGGAGGAGGAGGAAGGGGAGGACACACCCCTTTTCGAGGCACCCCAATCGCCGCCCCGAAAAGGTTTGGGAGGCAGAGGCGAGGGAGGAGGAGGGGGGAGAGGCAGGAGGCAGGTGCGCGCCTCTTCTTCGAGCACGGCGCGCTGGGGGTCGCGGGGCGTGCGCGCGCCTCTCTTCTTCGAGCACGGCGCTGCCTCCTCGTCGGGGCGGCGGGCGAGGAGGCAGGGGACGGCGACGGAGGAGGAAGCGGGCGAGAGGCAGGCAGGAGCGCGCGCCAACAGAGTGTGCGCCCCTCGTGTGCGACAGCGGGCGCGGGCGCTACACCGTCGTCGGGGAGGGGGCTGAAGAGGCACAGGCGGCGGTGGAGGAAGAAGATATGGAGAGGCAGGAGGAGTCCTCCTCTCGCTCCTCCTCCTTCCTCCTGCCCCTCCTCCTCCTCCTCCTCCTCCTCCTGCCTCCTCCTCCTCCTCCTCCTCCTCCTCCTCCTCCTCCTCCTCCTGTATGCTACAAGGTGTGGGTGTGTGTGTGTGGTGTGTGTGTGTGTGTGTGGTGTGTGTGTGTGTGTGTGTGTGTGTGTGTGGGGGTGTGTGTGTTGTGTGTGTGTGTGGTGTGTGTGCGTGTGAGTGTGCGTGTGAGTGTGTGGGTGTGTGTGTGTGTGTGTGTGGGTGTGTGTGTGTGTGTGTGTGTGTTGTGTGTGTGTGTGTGTGTGTGTGTGCGTCGTGCGTGTGTGCGTGTGGTTGTCACCGTGTGCGTGTGTGTGTGCGTGTGAGTGTTGTGCGTGTGCGTCGTGCGTGTGTGTGTGCGTGTGCGTGTGCGTGTGCGTGTGCGTGTGAGTGCCGTGAGTGTGCGTGTGCGTGTGCGTGTGCGTGTGGTGTGTGTGTGTGTGTGTGTGTGTGTGTGTGTGTGTGTGTGTGTGTCTTTGTGTGTGTGTGTGTGTGTGTGTGTGTGTGTGTGTGTGTGTGTGTGTGTGTGTGTGTGTGTGTGTGTGTGTGTGTGTGTGTGTGTGCGCGTGGTCCCTGCGGGGGCAGGCCGCGGGCCAGGGAGAGCAGGAGGAGGAGGAGGAAGAGGAGGAGGAGGAGGACGAGGACGAGGACGAGGACGATGAGGAGGAGGATAAGGAGGAGGAGGATAAGGAGGAGGAGGAGGAGGCGGAGGAGGAGGAGGAGGACAAGGAGGGGGAGGAGGAGAAGGGAGAGAGGAGGAGGAGGAGGGGAGGAGGAGGAGCAGGAGGAGGAGAGAGGAGGAGGAGGAGGAGGAGGAAGAGGAAGTGGATGAGGAGGAGGACGAGGACGGGCTAGGGGACGAGGACGAGAGGAGGGGAGAGGAGGAGGAGGAGGAAGGAGGAGGAGGAGGAGAGGAGAGGAGGAGGGGAGGGACGAGAGGAGGAGGAGGAGGAGGTCAGGACAAGGAGGAGGATGAGGGAGGAGGAGGAGGAAGAGGAGGAGGGAGGAGGAGGAAGGAGGAGGACGAGGAGGAGGACGAGACGAGAACGAGGACGAGGCGAGAACGAGGAGGGGGAGGAGGAGGAGGAGGAAGAGGAGGAGGAGGAGGACGAGGAGGAGGGGAGGAGGAGGAGGAGGAGGAGGTGGACAAGGAGGAGGACAAGGGGAGAGGGAGGTAGGAGGAGGAGACAAGGAGGGGGACAAGAGGAGGAGAGGAGGAGGATGAGGAGGAGGAGGAGGAGGAGGAGGAGGAGGAGGAGGAGGGGAGAGGTGGGTGGGTGATCCGCGGGCGGTGCAAGCGCGCACGGGGCCAAGAGGCCAGGGAGGGGCCCCCCGCACGCCAAGGGCCTGCGGGCGGGAGGAGTGCGTGTGCCACGGGGTGTGCGCGCCACGTCTTCGAACGTGTCGCTGCATGTCTATGTTCGGGATGATGGGCGGGGAGGAGGGAGGGGGAGAGGAGGAGGCGAGGGAGGAGGAGGAGGAGGAGGAGGGGAGGAGGAGGAGGAGGAAGGGGAGGACACACCCCTTTTCGAGGCACCCCAAACGCCGCCCCGAAAAGGTTTGGGAGGCAGAGGAGGCGAGGGAGGAGGAGGGGGGAGAGGCAGGAGGCATGTGCGCGCCTCTTCTTCGAGCACGGCGCGCTGGGGGTCGCGGGGCGTGCGCGCGCCTCTCTTCTTCGAGCACGGCGCTGCCTCCTCGTCGGGGCGGCGGGCGAGGAGGCAGGGGACGGCGACGGAGGAGGAAGCGGGCGAGAGGCAGGCAGGAGCGCGCGCCAACAGAGTGTGCGCCCCTCGTGTGCGACAGCGGGCGCGGGCGCTACACCGTCGTCGGGGAGGTGGCTGAAGAGGCACAGGCGGCGGTGGAGGAAGAAGATATGGAGAGGCAGGAGGAGTCCTCTCGCTCCTCCTCCTTCCTCCTGCTCCTCCTCCTCCTCCTCCTGCTCCTCCTCCTCTTCCTCCTCCTCCTCCTCCTCCTCCTCCTCCCCCTCCTCCTGTATGCTACAAGGTGAGTGTGTGTGTGTGTGTGCGCGCGCCTCATTTTCGATCACTGGGTTGCAGCTTCGTGTCGCGGCCTGCTCCGGCCTGGTCTCGCAGGGGCAGGGGAGGCGAGACCGAACGAGGTGGTCTTGACAATGGAGTCGGCCCACCTCAAGACCACCATCGTGGATGGCATCATCGGGCCGAACGTCCTCTATGTTGTCAATCCGGATGGGGGACGGGATATGTCCGTGTGTTTGCGGTGTTGAGGTGGCGTGCTGCGCGGTGGAAAGAGCGGGCAGCGGGAGGATGAGTACCAAGTGCGGGAGGATATGTAAGAGGAATGATAATACGGAGGCGACGGGGGAGTAGTAGGGTTGACTTCGTGGATCGCATTCGCCCCACCATCCCGATTTCCCTCCTCTTGCTCGTGCTCCTGCTCCTGCTGCTCATGTTCCTCCTCGTGCACACCCTCCTGTCCTCTACAAGCGATGCGCAAGACTTGCACCGCCAGGAGAGTTGCTACTTCGTTAGAACAGTTCCTTCGGATAAAACAATGCACAACAATCCCGGTTCCCCCCGCTCCCTCCCTTACTGCCCCCTTCGTTCCACCTTCCCTTCGCTTCCCGTTCCCCTCTCCTCACCCGCCTTCCCTTCTATCCCTCCTTCCCCTTCTCCCTCTCCCTATCCCTGGTCTCGGCTCGAGAGCTCTGCTCAGAGCGAGCCCAGACGCCAACCGCCCCACATCAATGTTTGCCTCTCGAGACCGGACACGGCCCATCCCTGCCTCAGCGGCTCAAGCGAGCGGCATCCACGCCAGTATCTCGATTTGCTTAGCAGCCGTTCTGCCTCGACAAGCCGGCCACGAAAGTAGCTCGCAATGCGCGCGCGACCTTGGTCTGATCCACGCGGGGCCCTCGCCAAGACCAACCTGCGCGCAGAAGCGACCAGTGAGGACCAGGCCCATGAGAAGCCAGATCGGCCAAACCAGGTGCAATACCATTCTCAGGACTAGCCATCTAGCAGCATCACAGGTATAAGCGCACTAGTCCACCTACTCGGTGTTGTCAGGACCTGGGCCGAGCCAGCATGGGTCTGGCTGCGTGCCTACGTGATGCCCCATTGGAACGTCATCTCCTCTGCGCGGGTTTTGCCCCCCTCCGCGGCATCACCGAGGACACTGACCGATAGGGGCCTGGGTGCGCTGCGGAAGTGGATCTCTGGCGATTGCGGTCACCAGAGCTAACGCCCCAACCTCTGGACGCCTCTGATCGTGAATCAACCAGACGACCCTGACCTGCGCACGGCAGTTATCAACGCGACACGGGACGTGTTCAGGCCGCCATGGAGGAGTGCGGCAGCCCGCGGTGGTCGCACGCGCAGCCGTCGCCGCAGCCACAGCCCACGCCGAGGGCGGAGGGCACCAGCCCAGTTGGTCGAGTGGCGCGAGTCGACACGACACCCGCTGACGCAAGAGTGCCGCGACCGCCAGTCCCGCGCACGGTTCACTACTTGGCGTAAGACGCTGATAGGTTGCACCCCGTACCGTCCATGCACCAGATCCCGACATGTGCCTCAAAGCCCCCAAAAGCGGCCACAGTGAAAAATATGGACGAAGTCTGTCAAGCGTTTCGCTGTGGACCGCTCGGAGAGCTTCATCACGTTGACCCCGCCTTCCGCGTCGTCGACGTCGTCGAGGCTGTCGCCGAATAATAAGCCAATGGGGCCATGTGGGTCGGGGAAGATAGCGCCGCGCCACTTGGGGCCTTGCTGAACCATCGGAGCACGCGCGCCAGCACGGCTTGTTCTTCCCCGCGACGCGGGTGGAACATATCGGCCGCATCCGTCATCTGGACTCGGCCCTCTTGCCAGGGCGCGCGGGGAAAAGCAAGCGTCAGGTCACCATGCCGCGTCTACGCCGGCGCCCACCCGGTCCACGCCGCTAACTATTGCATCAAGGCAATCACCAGGCCTGAGCATCCCAGGGCTTCAGGCCCCTTTGCCATGTTCATCTACGAAGCCATCCTCGCGCCGGTCGGATATGGGGGATCTGAGGATGCTGCCGAAGGCCGACGAAGCAGCCCCTCTCCCGCCAAACAAGTTCCACCAGACTCTGATAGACTTGAGAGCCACGTTGACACGCATGCTGGACACGCGGGGGCCTTTACAGGGGCGGCGCGGACGCACGGGGGCCCGCTCTGACGAGTCTACCCCAATGAGGCAGGCGTTCAAGGCGGAGTGCCGCCGGGAACTCCCAGACCCTGCGCCAGCCCAACCCTCTTGTCCTGACTGACGAAGCGCTCATGCATACCATCCGCGCCCGACCTGCCTCTGCAACGGGCGCCCGGGACGCATGTGCCGCCAAACGTGCGGAGGCGCTGCAGGGCGGCGTCCTCTTTTGCTGGAGCCCTGAGGGCCATGCAGCGCGCGGGGGAAGGGCCCATCGACCAGCGCTTGCTTTCTGTCATGTCCGCGTGGATGCACGCGTGGGAAACACGGGCTCCCGGCAGCCGTGCGCCGCGGAGGGCTCGCTGGACTCGCCCGGCGAGCTCCGGGGCGGCGCCGCGCGCCGCCTCCGGGAGCGTCAGTGCCACGCTGGCACTACAGGTAGAGCGCGCGCGTCACTTCCAGGTGCCGCTTGCTGGGGCGGCGCCCGACAGGCAAAAGTGCTGCGACTACCGCGCCGCGGACATCTGCTTCAACCCAGCATTGCGCTCTGGGCACCCGCTGGACATCGCGGGTCAGAACGTAGTTTTGTGCTAACCACCAGGGGTGCATACGCAGGGGGGGCGCGTGCTCCAGACCCTTGGCACGTACCAGCGGCCACCGTCCAGGCAGCGCCTTATCCCTCGGCGACGTCCAATTTGCCGGCGCGTCTCAGGACCAAGCGGCAGCACCTGTATGCGCCGCGATGCTTGAGCATTACATTCGTCGACGACAGTAACTCCGCGGCACCCGCTGCCAGAGAACCACGAACCTCCCTCGACGAGACTGCTCTCGTCGACCTCATGTCACGCTCACAAATATCCAGCCTGGCAAAGTGGTCGGCTGAGCTGTCGGCGAAGAGCTTCTCCGCCAGGCGGCGGCCCTGCAGCTCAACGGACACTCTTCTCAAGCTCACCACCAAGTGAAGCTTATGAGGAGCTACATCAATGTCGCACTAATAGCAGACGACGCCAACTGGAATCTGGCGACCGCCCTGGATGTCAGGGCGCGACGGGCTGTCGCCAGATTCCCACGTTTGGGGCTCCTCCCGGATGGCACCGCGCCTCGTGGTTTTCGCGTGCGCTTCTGGCACTGACATCCAGTCACATAACACGAAAGTGCGCAACTTGTACAGAACCTCTTACGTTCGCTCCCATGTGTCCCGAGGGGCGATCCTGGATTTCACAGTGAGCGCTGTGCGCTCTGGTCGCCCCTGGACGTTCTTTCGGGCTGGGCGCCGTCGCGCAGATGGGGAAGCCCTGCTAGGGCGGCGGAGATTGGCGCGGAGAGACACCAGCTTCAACGCCAAAGCCGCAGAACTGCACCACCACACGCAAACCTTCCCAAGAGGGTGGCCCTGTGGGCAGGGTCTGGAGAATTGGCCAACTGGAACGGAGCTGGCCAACTTTCGGAACGATGAAAGATGGCTGCGGCCTCCGCCTGTCATGTTTGCACCTACTGGTCGGCCCGTTCACGCACGTGCCCCGAGCGTCGCAGAGGATTTGCCCCCCGTGGCGGATACCCACCAACAGACATGATTTGGGAGATTTCGCCATGGAAAAAAACAAGGCCTGGACCCCTTCGCCAACGCAGGGTTGCAAAGCACCAAATTCGATGCCGAATGCGCCGCTGCTTGGCAGCTCGGCCTGCCCTGCAACGACCTGCGCGGCGGTGTCACCCAGTCCGCGCGGGCATCTCGCCCGATCCTTCACCGCTGCGCAGATGGTTCAACCGAGAAGAGTGAGCCCAAGAGCACGCGGCCTGGGAATGCCCATGCTGGGGGTGGGAAAGGGCCGCCCTGAAAACCATGATTACAGGTCAACAGTGGAGAGACCTCCCGCCGCGCGCGAGAGACATTGCGGGCTGCTCGAAGAGCGCCCCCATCTGCTGGACTTCCAGGCCACCCCTGCGCAGGGCGAGCTCCCACAGCTCATCCCGCGGCCCACTCGCGAGGATCCCAGAGACGATCTGTTTGAGGAATGTGCGGGCAACGCGGGGCCCGGTGGGCATGCGCGGACACGGGCGGCGCCTGCGCCCGACAGGGTCACCTGGTCTTTGCCGTGGCGGGCTTGGGGGTTTACCGCGGGCTGGGCCACCCGCCACGCCAATCTGCTCGGGTGCGCGGCTTGGCCCGGCCCGCGCCACGGGCGGAAATTCTCGCTATTCTTCACTTGGTGGCAACTGCGGCCTGTCCACATCTTCGTCGACAGCCATGCTTAACAGGGAATCAGCAGACCGTCGCCTATAGTATCGAGATGTCTGAGATCGGTCTGCCACCAGAGCTAGAATTGAGCACTCTGCAATATTTGGTAAGATATAATATATTTTCCTGTACTAAATTCATAGGCTGCTCCTCATCCTCCTTCCCCTCTTTCTTTCTTCTCTCTCTCTTTCTCCTCCTCCTCCTACCCCTCCTCGTTTTCCTTCTTCTTCTCCTTTTCCTCCTCACTCCTTCTTCTCCTCCACGTCCTCCTCATGAAACCGCGCCCTCGCGCGCGCGGAATGCGAGATTGCCGCGCCCGCATCCCATTCATGTATATCGCAAGGAAGCTCTACGAGTTCCCGGCGGTAATCAAGATTGACGGTTTACCGCCAGCTCCCAGTCTTCGTCGACAGCCATGCCATTGTTGACGGGCCCAGGAACCTTCTCAATGGGAAATGACCGCGAGGCACTGGGCCAGGTGGACCTTTGGCGACACATTCACAGCGTGATGTAAGCCAAACCGGACATGTTCAAGGTTCAGAATACCGAAACCCACTTTCAACAACCACGCCGATGAACTCGCCACAGCTGGAACACGCCTACGCACTCTGCAGCAAGATCTCATCGACGCAGCCAAATGGCGACACAATTCCGCGGCGTCTCTGCAAAGCACCGCCGCCGCGACTTACGATCGGCATGGCTGCGTTCTTCCCCTGCCGGACCGACGCGCGGGTTACCATAGGGCCGATTTCAGCAAGATAAGCCCAATTGCACACCATAGGGCAAGGAAGTGACGAGCCACCAGGCTCACTGGCCCAGACTGGGTGACCCCGCTCAACCGCAAAGCCAACCAGGGCTTGACTCCTTTGGTGGTCTCGGCGGTCCTTGGGAAGCTCCAGCCGACGATTTCGAAGGGGAAGACCAGGACCCGCGGGCTGGGTGCGTCCTTGAAAGACGATGATGGGAACAATGCTATTCGACTAGGAGGTCAACGTTTACCGGCACGACGCTGGCGACGAAATCGCAGCCTGGTATAGGCCAAGGGTTTCAGAAAACTTGTCTCAAGTGGCGGAGGTCCACCACGACTCCGCTTCTACAGCCGTTCTTCTCGACCACCATGTCGTCTTTCCCTCCCGCCAGGGTGCGGGAAACAGGGGCCCGCCTAGAACCCTCGATGCAGTAGGCCCCGGTGGCACCCGGTGGAACTGCGACGCAGCGAACGGACCGCAGGCATGCCCTCACGCAGCACCGTGCGGACGCAAGGTGACAGCCAAATCGTGAACGCGGAGTGGTCGTCATCGTTAGGATTACGGCGCTGCAGCAGCGAGTCTGTCGTCCTGCGCAGTCCCTTAAAACCATACGCGTGGTTCACTTCTAAGTATTCGGAAGTTGTTTGATTTTTTGGGGGCCAAGATCCTTTCATTTCTAATCGTTCTATCCTGGGCCTCTTCCTGGCCACTAAGGGGGCCAGGAAGAATTAGAAACGAGCACAATTAGAAATGAACACGATTAGAAATGAACGACGTGTACAGGGACGGTGTAGCCCTCTGCTCGACGGGCCCCATCGAGTTCAGGCCGCTCGGGGTGACCTTCGGCAAGCCGCCCGTCGTGCTGCTTCTCTTGGGCTCTCGCTCCAATGGGAACCTCCAGGCGCGCACTACTGCTCACCGCTAAGGTTGTGGAACTCGATTGATGGAGAGGACGCATGCTGCCAAATTATTTCCAGATGTCTAAAACATGTTTCAAACATGCAAGAAGACATGCTTGAAACATGTTTAGGACATTGCTCCGATATGTTAAGCACAGCTTAAATTCAATGATAGGACTGTTAGGGTGTCCACTGTCGTGGCATCCACAACGCTAAGCGCCCGTACTAACAACCCCTCTCCCGTGCGCGCTGCGGAAGTAAGCGGCAACTGCTCGGCAGCCTTCGCACTGGGCCGCCGCGGGGACGGCCCCGGGTGCACTGCGGCACCCAGCCGCGCACGCCAGAGCGTGCCAGAAACCGGCGCATGTTGTCTCGGGTGTGCTCGCGGGGGCCGTGCCACGGACCCGTTTTTATTTCCAGTCGGGGTCCCTTTGAGACCGTGCCAGAGGGGGGCAGGATTTTTCCCCGGGCCTGTCCGAACTGTTGCGCCTTGCCCCCCCCTCTCCCTCCCCCCGTGCCTGTCTCCCCTCCTTTCCCCCTTCTTTCTCCGCCCTCCCTCTCCCCGTCGCTCTTCTCCGTCCTCTTTTGATCCCCGCCCCCCTTCTGCGACGGAGACGACGGGAGCGAGGAGAAGATCAACACGGATGACGTCCTGGTCATTCGCAAGCGCATGCCCGCAGCTCGGGGGAGACAGCGGCCTGCCACCGTCCTCTCTCGCCTCCTACCGCTGGGCTTGGCCGTGGCGCAGTGCGTTGGCGCTGCTGACGCGACAGAGCTCCAGACCTCTTGGCGGCTATCTTCTCTTCAGTTTGGGCCTCCAGAGGCCTGTTTCGGGCCTCGGCGCCGTCAAACAGCTGTCCAGGAGAGCAACCGACAAAAAACAGATGCGGAACAGAGGTGCAGGGTACTCCTAGGGGACGGGGGGTGGAGTCGGCGACCAGGGAAAAAAACGAGTCGTAGGAGGTGCGTGTTTTTTTTGTTGGTTTCTCTCTCTCTCTCTCTTCGGGGCCGTCCAGCTGCATCCTCGTCGCCACGGCTCCACATCGCAGAAGCCGCCAGTCAGGACACGGCATCTGAGAGAGATCCGAGGGGCTACCCCCTGCTGCCCTTCCTCGCCCTCTCTTCTCATCATCCCTCCTCGGCCTGCTCTCTATCACGGAGGCCTTCGGAGGGCCTCTGGGGGCCGCTGGAGGGCCTCGGGAGGCCTCCAGGCTGACACCAGCATCTGGCTTGGCCATCGTCCGCAGCATGGTCGAGCAAAGTCAGCTTCGTCCTTCGGGCCCCATCTGTTTCCATCCGTGCTTCGGTGTCGCAGGCCTCGCGCCAACACTCTCCTCGACCTGCCGTCACGGCATGGTCGCGCGTATTCTGTCTGTTGGCTGACTACGCGTGCCCAGCCCCTGCTACTGTGGCAGTTCCGCGCTGCAGCGGTTCATCGGTCCTCGAGCACGCATCCTGGCAGAAACGGTCAGTCAAGCCTTGCGCACACACGGCGCATCGGCAGATAAAAAATGATGGCGCCACATTGTGGAGGCAGGGAGGAGCAGGAGCAGGAGAAAAAGGAGGCAAAGTGGGGAGAGGGGAGGGAAAACAGAAAAGCCACACTCAAAGCGTGAGAACGAGGACGTGCAATTCTGGCGCAAGAAAGAGGAGCTACCGTGCCATCCAGCGTGCTCAGGCAAGGCCTATCGGAGCGATCTCGCCGCATAGATTTAGGAAGTCCAGGACTCGCGAAGGATTTGAAACGACTGAAACGACTGAAACCCTTCAGAAGCCCTCCCTCCCAGAACCTTCCGAGAAGCCTCCCCGAACCCTTCGGGGAGGGGTTTCGGAGGGTTCCGGGAAGGTTCATGTCGTTGTTTGGGGGGAAGCCCGTCCTTCGTGAACCTTGGGTTTCGCAACATAGATTTCAGCGTCGATGTGGCTCGATGGATTCAAGGTTTTTCCGCTACCTCTTCCCATGCTGTCTTAACTCAGGACCGTCCAGGGTAAAGACCGTACCGGTTTGGGTTCAAGCTGTTCGGTTCGAGCCTTGGTTTCGAGCTGATGCTGCTCAGTCGCTGCCCGCTGAACTAATTACCTATGCTCCCAATGTATAACTGGTGCGATGCCGTAATGGCATTGGACATTGTAGAGTTGCAACAGTTGGCGATTGACATCATCTAGCGGTTTTCAACACATTGGCAGTGAAGCAAATCGACGATAGTTCTTTCTCAGCGGTGCACTTATGTATGTATGCCGGAGTGTTGCAGCCTCTCAAACACATCTGTTACATTTTCTAGCACATAAACATAAGTACAAATATGTATATGCGTATGAATGGTCGGTTGCATCAGCCAAAGAAGATTGTCGACTAAATCAGACTCTCTTTCATTCTCCTCCCTCTTCAAAGTCTCCGTTCCTTCCCACCAGAAATCGGCACGCGCTTTCTGACCACCCAGGATGCTGGTGATCGTGCCGTGGCCGAGAGCTCCCTTCCCAGAGTGCCCAAGGCAAATTGGACGCAGCATCAATCACCGAACGCGTTCCATTACAGTTGAGACCCATGCCAAGAACTACTCTGCTTGTCTCCAGGGAGCCCTGGGTTTCTTGGGTTTTGATGGTTTTGCGATGGAGAGCGTGACGTTCCCGCACCAAAGAAATCCATGGACGTCCTGGGGTCTCAGGGTTGGGTTTCTTGTTCACGCTTTCCTGTGGACAAGCCTCCACTGTACTCGCAAAGTGCCTACTCGCAAACGTCCGAAAAACAAACGCCTGCCTCGATGTAATGGATCGCACTTCCACCTCTCAGCGGATCCAGGCCATTTGCGAACAGCTACTCTGCGAGAGTCGTGGAACGCGCTTGCGCGCTTGCCTGGTCAAGACGACTCACCTCCTCGTCCTCTTCGTCGTCCTCCTCCTCCTCCTCGTCGTCGCCGTCCTCCTCCTCCTCCTTCCCGTCCTCCTCCTCCTCCTCCTCCTCCTCATCATCATCATCCCCCTCATCCTCCTCCTGCTCCTCCTCCTCCTCCTCCTCCTCCTCCTCCTCTCTGAAGTTGCTGGCGCTCCTCCTCCATCTCCTCCCCCTCCTACTTCTCCTCCTCCATCTCCCTTCCTCCTTCCTCCTCCTCCTCCTCCATCTCCCTAACCTCCCTAGATCCTCCTCCTCCCCCTCCGCCTCTTCCCCACCTCCCCCACTCTCTTAAGGCCAATTTTCCTCCTCCCTCCCTCCTCCTCCCCTCCTTCTCCTTCTCCCTCCTCTCCCCCTCCTCCTCCTCCCTTCCTCCCCTCTCCTCCCCTGCCCCTAACCTTCATAATAATAAAAAAAAGACACCCACCAGAAGCCTATAGGGGAGAGGAGGAGGGGGGAAAAGGGGAGGGGAGTTTGGGGAAGGAGATGTGAGGGAGGTAATAGGAAAAAATGTGGGAGATCGCCGACACATGCGTGTCAGACACCAGCCTGCCTCTCTGCGGTGAATCGTGAGTTTCTGTGTGCAGCCGGACCGAGGTATCAGATCGAGGTCGGTTCGGGGAGGGTGCCCTAGTGTTCTTCGCGCTTGTTGGGTGCTCTTGCGCAACCTGGGGACGATGCCCTTGGATGTTCTGTGTATTTTGGCAGGCGGAGGGTCTCGTGTTGTTGAAGGGCGTTATTCTGTACTGGGTCCGACTGCATAGAAGATGGTGTGCTTGCGGGCGAGCGGGGAACAAGCGGGAGGCGGTGGCAACCAGCCCCTCCCAGTCCCATGCTGGCATCAGCCAACTTCTCCTCGACGTCCTCCCGGGACATCCCGCGGGGTCCCTGGAGGTCGTGAGCTCTCGAGAGGAGCCCCCTCGAAGCAAGCGAGAAGCCTGCGAGGAAGGCGGCCACGCCGTGAACCGTCCAGGGGCCAGGAAGAGCGGGCGGCTGGCCGAGGCGAGGCTCGAGCAGGACTCGAGGAGCGTCGGGGGCTGCACGCGGGCGGCAGCAGGCCTCGCTGGGCGCGGAGGAGCGGAGGGCCGACGGCCGAACGCGGCCTCGGGGACGTCCGTAGGCATCGCCAGCACTACGGTGGGTTTGGATGCTTTTGCGATGGGGAGCGTGGCGTTCCCGCACCCAAGAAATGCATGGACGTCCTGGGGTGGAGGAGGAGGAGGAGGAGGAGGAGGAGGAGGAGGAGGAGGAGGAGGAGGGAGGAGGGGAGGAAGGAGGAGGAGGAGGAGCGGAGTAGGCGGAGGGGGATGGGGGTGAGGAAGGAGGGGAGGAGGAGGGAAGAGAAGGAGAGGAGGAGGAGGAGGAGATGAGGGGAAAGGGGAGAGGAGGATGCTTTTGCGATGGACGTCCTGGGGTCTCAGGGTTCGGTTTCTCGTGGAAGCTTTCCTGTGGACCGGCCTCCACTGTAGTGGCCGTCCTGTCTTTCTTCTGCGCCTGCAAGGCGCGACGGTAGCCCCGGAATTGTGCAGGTCCCTCCCCCCCCGTCCTCTCAGGAGGAGGGTGGAGCAGCGTTCCCGGCAGCGAAAGATTCATGATTATTTTTCTCCCGCGTCCGCGCGGCTACGGAGTTGCGGCGGTTCAGATTTTGCTGCCTGCTGTGATTCGTGCGATTTCGGACCGACGTAGCTCTGGCGATCTTGGCCCGCTCATGCATGTATTGTTCTTGCTCTGACGGCTTCTTAAACATAGTTCTGGGACTCGCTTGGCGGGATCCAGGCCCTGGGCTGGGAGGCCGGTTGGCCGGACGCAGGCATATGACGCTCGGTCGTGCTGAATTGTTGTTACATGGTGCTCGCTCGCACAAGGTGACGTTGCATCTTCGGGGGATCTCGCCTGCCCCAACAATTGGTCTCGTTTCTTGTGCCCGACGCGGGCTCGATGCGGACGCGACTCGGATTTGGCGTGGGTTCGGCGCGGATTCGGCACGGATCCGACGAGTCCGACGTGTATTCGACACGGACTCGACGCGGATAGGGTCGCGACGGGACAGGCAAAGGGCCCCCGAGGATGCAACAGCAACACGAGCTCGCGACCGACGAGCATACGCAACGAGCTGCCTCGGTGGCAGCTCCCCTCGGACGGGGGGAGCGGGCCGGCAGGGGGAATCCCGGCCAGGCAGGAGCAGGATCCTGGAGGAGCCTCTTAAGGCAGGGCTCGGGCTAAGCGGTGCTCGGGCAACTTCGTGGACCGTTCTCGTCTTGAGTTCGTCATCGCAACACGGACAGCGAAGACGGCACGAGGGAAGGCGAAGACAGCACGAAAACGAGAAACATTGCTCGCATCGAGCCCCGCCCTCAGGGATAGCACAGGGGTCTGGGCACTGAACCGAGTCCTGAGGCGCTGGGGCCTCGGAAGCGCAGGACGCGAGAATGGCCCCTGCCTGCCACGGACAGCAGGGCTCGTGTCGGGTCCTCCGATTCGATTCGGTTCGATTTCGATGGCTTCCGATGCCGATCCGATTCGACCTGGGATTCCGACTCTGGTTCCGATGTCTTCTTCGAGGCACAGTATAGCCTGCCGACTCCTGCCGATTCGGCACCTCTCCCCACTCGGCCGCCGCTGTCCGCCGATCCGATTCCCTTCGATCGCCAATCCGACTTGCCGAGTCGATGTTGGGCCGTCCTGCGGACAGCGGCTCCAGTGGGCGAGAGCTTGGCATCGCTCGGACGTGTGCCCTGTTTTCCTCGGCGGGGACAATTGAGGCGCCTCCTGGACCATCGAGCAAGAAGCCACGCACAACACCGACAAAATGCACGGGGAGTGGACGTCCGAGCGCTGGCGAGAGAGGGGGGAGGGGGGCGGGCGGGAGCCCCGCCTCCCCAGAGCGCGCAAGAGCACGGCAGAGCACGGGGCGGGGCACCTGCTCTGTGGCCTGCTCGTGCTGGCGAGCTGGCCGGCAGGCCGCTCAAGCAGTCGGGGGTGGACAGACCTCCTACCCTGACACGTCGATTAAGGAATTGGCCGTTCTCGGTTCGCGAGAGGGCGTCGCGGCAGTCATTTTTGCGGGTCCAGGTCCGTCGGTTTCGGTCCCAGGCCGTTTTCACTAAGGGGAGGTCTACTAAAGGGAGGTTTGTCCACCGCCGAAGCAGGTGGGGGTCTGGGCACAACAGAGAACCACAACCACAGCTAAGTAGATTTTCGGGAGGGCCCATCGGGGGAGAGCCCACCGACTTCGGCACGAGCGCTCTGGTCGTGGTTGTGTGGTCTGTGTGGCCGTCCTGGGACGCAACATCGACCACAACCAGTACGAAGCTGGTTTCGGTGTTCTGACCACTGTGGGCATGCGCACGACAGCCCCCGAAGTGTGTGCTCGATGTGGTTGTGGTCGCTTGCTGTCCCCGCAGGGGGGGTGAGGTAATCGTCTTCGGGAGCCTTGAGACGGGGGTCAATACCAACGGGAGTCAGCGAGGGCGCCAGATCTTGCAGGATCCTGCAGAGCCAGGGTCGCACTGACCCGGGCTCGGGTGCAGGGTCCTGCAGGATGTGGCAGGGCCAGAGTCGCATTGACCCGGGCTTGGGCGCAGGATCCTGCAGGATCCTGCAAGGCCTGACTGACCCGGGCTTGGATTGACCCGGGTCAGCAGATCCCCGACGTTTCCGTATTCGTTGTTTTGCCGATCGGTGCCTGCTTTTGCACCCCCCTGCCCCCCCCCCTATGGAGTAGATTTTGGCTGCTTTGGGCGCATGTTTTTAGCAGGTGGAGTCTCCCCCGTATGACGCACTGTTGCAAACAAACGCATTAAGCAGAGGTCCGGAGCCAGACCCCCCCGGTCCCCCCCCCTTCCGCCCAATGTCGAAACGCCGAGGACAAGAAAACGCTCACGAGGGGATGCTCGCGGCTGCACTCACAAGTGCTTTCACCATACGAGAGAAGCCTATTGTTTCGACTACGCGTAATGAGTGGCCCTTCGCCTGAGTGGCTTTTGGTGCGGACCCACTGGGGTCCCCCCACCGCCGAGCGCGCTGCGGCAATAGTGTAGCCTCTTGCGTGCTTATGGTTGGTCCCCCCGCGACCTCCAAAAAGCCGCGCAACAGAGGTCACTCTTACCCAGGATCACTCTTGCGTGTGGCCGAACAAGTGCTTTAACCATGGGAGAGAAGCCTGGCTTTTCTGCATGCCGCGGGAAGTGGCTTCAGTGGGGCGAGGGGGGCTGGGCTGGGGGAGAGACCCGCGGAAGCAGAGAGTACGAGAAGCCTCCTATGGGGCCAAAACAGATCCGCAAAAGTCCAGGCTCCTCGATCCCATACCTCGATCCTCATCCCTCAACGTGCTTCTCCTTCCAGATCTCGGCGTCGTGATCACGTCCATACGTGAGCCCCTGGAGGCATCCGGGGCGTCTTTCTTGTGGCCACGTGGCCCAGCAAGGGTCCCCAGACCCCGAAAGTGGCTCCACCACGTGTGTGTGTGTATATATGTATATCTATTGCGAAGGCCTTACGGCCGGTGCCGCCGACCCTGAATGGCGACGACGACGACGACGACGAGCGCTCTTGGGGGCCTCTTGGGGGTAGTTTGTGGGCCTCTTGGGAAGCTCTTAGGGGCCGCTTGGAAGCCTCGTGGGGGCTTCTTGGGGCTTTCTGGGGGTCTCTTGGAGGGAGCCTGGGACGTCTTGGAGGCTTCTTGGACGGTCTTGGGGCTATCTTGGGCGTTTTCGGCCGATCTTTGGGCGACTCGGGGCCCTCTTGGGCCGTCTCGGGGGCCATCTTGGGCATTCGGATCTCATTTGGAGTGTTTTCGAGGTTTCTAGGCCGCCCGAGGAAAAACTAATCTGCCCCCCCACCCCCACCCCCCTCCCACCCCCCCCGGGACCCCCACCCCACCCCCCCGGCGGGCCCCACCCCCCCCCCGGGATCCCCCCCCCCACCCCCCCTGGGGACGGGATCGAGGGAAGGGGCTTCCCTTCGACTCGATTACGACAATGCTAGAATTTTTCTCTCCGCTCACGAGCTTTGGAGAAGGAAGCTTCAAGGGAAAGTGGAACGCGAGCGACGACCGACGGAGACGACGACTCGACCAGCCGCCCCTCGCACACGCCGACATTTCGGCGGATTTATATATGTATGTAGGTCAATTGCGCCTTTCTGAGGACTCCCAGTGGAGTCGAGGCGTCGAGACGTCCAGGCTTGAATGGGCTGGCGTTTGGAGCTGGAGTGGGTGAGTGGTGCTTTGACGCCCGTGAGTAATGAGAGGAGGAGGAGAGGAGAGGCGCGGAAGTGGGAAGGAGGAGGGGCGGGGGAAATAAAAAGGAAAAAAAGGGAAAAAAAAGGGGGGACGAATCTAAGGGTAGCATGTGGTTTGGTGGGTTTGTCATTGATGTCTGGTTTGAACGGGTTTCTATATACTCGGCCTCGCTCGTTCGTGTGCATCTTTCTCGGCGTGGGCCATCGAGCGCCTCTTTGGATCATCGTGCGCAAGATAAGCGCACGAAACCGAACATGCCACGGGAATGGATGTAGAAATCCCCCCGAGCGATGGTGATCACGGTTATTCCTCCGCGCGAGTGGGGCCAGTCCAAAACTCTGAGCGAGTGGCCTGGGTCCTCCTATTCATCTCTCCATCCTCTCCTCCCTCCTACGCGCGCCGCAGTCCTCGCCGATGACGACCGCCGGTGGCCGGGGGACCGCTGCAATCTGATGGCGGCATGCGCGTCACCGGAACTCTGGGGACCGCCCCCGTCGGGGGCTGGTTGCTCGCCCAGGAATCGAGGCTCAAGCGGAGGAGAAGGAGAGGAGGAGGATGAGGAGGAGGAGGAGAGGAGGGGGAGGAGGAGGAGGGAGAGGAGGAGGAGGAGGAGGAGGAGGAGGAGGAGGAGGAGGGGGGGGGGAAGAGGAGGAGGAGGAGCAGGAGGAGCAGGAGGAGCAGGAGGAGCAGGAGGAGCAGGAGGAGCAGGAGGAGCAGGAAGAGCAGGAAGAGCAGGAGGAGGAGCATCTGCACTACCAGTGGCGGGCTGTTTCTCAAGCCCAGGACTTCTAGAGGGTCGAGGGCGACGCTGGGGTGTTGTGGTGTGTACGTCTTTTTCCCCGACGTCCCGGGAATGCAGCGAAAAATATATACACCGGGGTCCCGTATGCACCAGGATCCGTTCTCCAGTGCAAGTTCCAATGCAGGGCTGGAAGAAGCGTCGGTGTATACAGTCAACGCGCCTAGTAAGGACGCGCGCCTTCATCTAGGGTACCCTTGTGTCCTTGCCTCTGAGGCCCGTCCTTGCCATTATCACTGGTCGCCCGCCGCCTTAAAAAAACTCATCGTCGGCCTCCAAGGGTCTTGCGTCCTTATCACCCGTCCTTAATGCACATTTTGACTGGAGAGTTCGGTTCCTTAGCTTAAGGTTCTCGCAGGCTTCCGAAGGTTCCCTTCTGCTTTCGGCGGCGCTCCAGCCCTCGGGCTGCGCTCCGGCAGTTGCGCCTCGCCGAGGGCGCTTCTCCGGGGGCGCCCGGATCGCCCCGAGCGGCGCCGGAGAGGCCGGGCCACAGGCGACCCGCACAGTGAGGACGGGCCTGTGGACGTCGATGAATGGAGAGGGAGCATGCTGCCAACTAATTGCCAGATGTCTAAAACATGGTTCAACCATGTTTAAAGTATAACAACATGGTTGAAACACGTTCTACACATTTTAGATACATTGCTTGTTCAATGGTAGGATTGTTCGAGTGTCCATTGTCATGGCATCCACAACCCAAGAGTACCCTTGCATCCTTGCCCCCTCGGCCCATTCTTGACCACTTTCGCTGGCCGCGCCCCGCTCACAAAGAGTCGACATAATCCTCCGAGGCCCTGGCATCCTCATCGTCGGACGGGGCTAGGACGAGAATGCATCCGTTCCAGAGCGTTCCAGAACGCTCTCGGAGCGTTCCCAAACGCTGAGAAGGCTGCGGCGCCCGACGCATCCTCCAGAGCCGCGGGATGTCAGAGATTCTCGATTTGTCCGCCCCTCCAAGTCTGCCCTCGTCCTCATTATTCTTATACAGGTTGACTGTATGGCGTCCTCCCATTTTAACGTCCAACTTGGTCCTCCAATTTTATCCTCGTCCTGGCTTCGTCTTATACCGTGCGTCCCTTGGCATACGGGTGGACTGTATGGCCCGAGTAGCGTCAGCACAACGGAAGATGCTTGGTTGCTCTCGGCCTCCACGGGGGCCCTTGCTGGGCCCCCGACGGGGAGGGGGCGGTGGAGGAGGAGGAGGAGGATGAGGAGGAGGAGGAGGAGGAGGAGAGTAGGTGGAGGGGAGAGGGGGATTTGGGGGCGGGTGGAGGGGAGGGGGATGGAGAGAGGAGGAGGGGGAGGAGGAGGAATAATAAAGAAGAGGAGGAGAAGGAGGAGGAGGAGGAGGAGAAGGAACAAGATGAGTATGCGAGGATCGAGACGGAGGAGGATGAGGACGTGGAGGAATGTGGAGGAGGAGGGTGCCGGAGCAGCACGAGGAGCAGTTTGGACCCTGCTCCTGCGCCGGCGCCGCCGCAGTGCCGCCGAGGACCTTCGACCCCGGGCGTGGGCAAGTTCCTGGCGCACCTCCAGGAGATGTGCGGCGCGCGGGTGGCACGGGCAGACCAGAGTCCGAGAGGAGGTGTGAG